ATAGTGTTTAAGGGATCGGTACGAGGTTGGCTGAGGACTGACATTGGCTGGTGGTTCCAGGGCGATGGCAGCCCTCTGGAGGAGACGGTTCAAGCTCGAGTTCCGGTTGGTTGCCGGGCGCGTCCTCGACGAGGAACGAGCAGGCCGGGTCCGGTGCTTACCAGAGCGGAGCCCACAACTCGAAAGGGCAGGATCTCTCGTCTCTCCTCCAGCAGCAGCATCACCACCATCACCATCACCTGCACGCCACCAGCCAACCGTCGTCGCAGCAACACGCGCTCAATGCCCTGAACTCGCTCAACTCCCTGAACACCTTGAATACCGAGCAGCTGACGATCATGCATCAAAAGCTGCAGAACAATCTGCAGAGCTTGCAGCAGCAGCAACAACAACAGCAGCAGCAGCAGCAGCAGCAGCAAACCACCTCGAAGAACGAGCTGAACCTGATGCTGCAGTCCTGCGCCAAGGAGAAAATCGAGAGCATGGCGTTGTTCCATCAACGCCGGTTCCATCAGTCCCAGCAACACCATCCCCAACCGGCGGACACCAACACACAGTCCGGCAAGCCAAAGTGTCCGGAGTGCGGCAAGATATACTCGAACAATTCCAACTTGAAGCAACATATCGTGAACGTGCACACCGTGCAAACGGAGTACGTGTCCTGTCACGTGTGCAGCAAGCAGTTCAAGACCAAGCAGTACCTTCAGATACACCTGTTGTCCATGCACGGGATCAGGAAACGGAAGAGCTACCCGCTGTATCAAATACAGACGCACGGGCAGTCGCAGCAGAGCGGACAGCCGTCTTCCGGGCAGCAATCCCAGCAACAATACCCAGCGCCGGATAGATGGTCCGAAGAGAAACAGTGACTGAAGGAAGATCGTTGATCGAACGGATTGTCGATGTCGCAACGGTGCAAGGTCTCTGGATCGTGATCGGACACACGCAGGAGACGAACGGGTCGATGAAAGTGGATACTGGTAATCCGTATACGTACTCGACCCCCTTTGATTCAGAGAGACGCTTCGACGCGACACATGGAGACCTCGCAATAATCTTCGTAGCAGTTTGTGTACATAGGATGGAAAGTTGGTCGTCTAGGGAAGTAGCGGCGGTAGATAGTTCGATTTTTCTTTCGATTCTCTTCTCCCCTTTGTTCGAACAGTCGGGATAAAGGGGCACGGAGGTGGCGATAGGCTAGAGGAGGCGGAAGAGGGTGCTGACACGAGGATTGGCCGACCTATTTTCGCACCGTACCGCAGTGCGCAGCCAATCCTCACGGGCTGCGATAGGGAAAGCCTCCATGATTGGCTGGGAGAGAGGACTCGTGGAATTCTTATCGGCATAAGTAGTCGAACCGGGAAGGATGCGTCCGCGTGATTACTCGAAAGAGCGATTCGCGGGGCGAGGATGCCGCGCTCGTCGTCGCCCCCTTGCTTGCGTGGCCTCGTTTTAGGGGAATGAATCGAGGAGGCCGGGGAAGAGACACTTTAAGTAATTTTTCTTTCCCTCTTCACGTTATTATTTCTCCCGTTTAATGTACCGATGCTGCGAACGACGACGGAACGCTCATTTGAAATGATAAAATTCGCCTTTAGCATTCGGAAACTTTGCGATACCTCGAGTGCACCGGCCGAGAGAGGTCGGATAAAATGTTATTCGACTCGCGCAGTCCGATGCATCAACCCTCGTGCTTCGTATTTCAATTCTCATTCATCGGGAAAGTAATATTAATTGAAACGTAGAGCCGGAGTGCCCGCTCGCGCAACACAAGGGTTGATTTTTAAGAATCTTTTATCTCCGGAGGAAGCTTTCCGCGTTCATTCTCCCCGTGTTTCTCACGAGAAATTCGGTTGTATCTCGGAGATAACTCGGAGTGGAGAATGCAATCCGACGTTGCAGAGAAACGGGATTATTTCCGAGCCGTACTAAATCCGCTATTCAGGGCACAATATTCGGCGCTGTTTGCCGGTGGCACCTTCGCTTTTAAAATATCGACGGCCGTGCTAAAACCGTTGGCCAGAAACGCGGCGCCGTCGGCGAGCTTCCATTTGCCCCGGGGCCGGCTTTCGTCTTGACGCGCCGCGTTTCCGTGCACTCGGTACGTCCTATCGGGGCGCACACGTACACGCGCGGCGAATGCCCGCGCACATTTAGGCTCACGGAATTACGAGGCAGAAAGAGATAGAGTGGGTTGTATTGATCTCGAGGATTCAACAAACAGCACCTACTCTACCTCCGCCCGCTCTCCTTCCTATCCAACTTCGCCTTACTCTTCCACTCCCAACCTCACCCACTCTCTCCTCCTCCCCTTTCTCTTTCTCTTTCTCTTTCTCTTTCCCTTTCTCTTTCTCTTTCTCCTTCTCTCTTTCTCTTGTTCGTTCTCTCCACGTATTCCGTACCATTCGATTCCGTTCGCGGATAAAGTTTGATGAGGGCAACCCTCTCCGATAGTTCCGGCCCGTCTCATTGCTGGATATAGATTGGCATTGATCATTAACTACTTTCCGTTTAATCCTCCGACGATCGCATTTTTCTCGGTTCGGTGTAATTGACTGTTGCAGTTCGACGTGTCTTTTTATTTCGCGATGCCTCTTGCCGGATTGCTTTTGAATTTATCAGAGGAACGAACTCGATGTTGCTAAGAGGATTTTGTTGCGAGGAAAATAGCTTACCCCTGAAGACTGAGAATCGCGGTTTATTGTCAATTAGCTTTGCAACCGGTAGATATTTATTTTCGACGTGCAATTGCGGATAGTATTGAATTTAGTATAGTATAGTATATTAAAGCTTAGCTGTCTAAGGGTAGTTTTACTCTTTAAAACACAATGTGACGCAGTTCTTATATCTTCTATCTTCAAGATTTTAACCCTTTGCACTCCAAAAGTTTTTCGCTAGAAATACTCAACATTTTTTAATCGAATACCGACATTCTTTCAAACTGACATAACAAGAACTCGCACATAAATTAAAGAAAGAGGCTGTTATTTTAATATTTTACGTGTCGATGCGTTGTAAAAAGTTTAATATTAAATGTCAGACTCCATAATTTTGCTGTGTCAAAGGGTTAAACTTTCATTAGCAATAATTTCCACGCGTTTCCTCCTGAAGACAGCTATTCGATCCTAATCGAAGTAAACGCTGTTTGGCGTCCGCATCGATCTGCGAATCGACCGATCGATCGTTGACGAGCCAAGTGTCTCCGTGGCGAATCATCGGATATCCATTTCCCAAAGGCGAGGAGAAGAAAGTTGTGCGTGACACGCGATACACTGGTCCCTATGAGCATCGGCCACGCGATGTGCTAGCTCACGGCCGGGCCTATCAGCCCCATCGCGCACCCCTGGCAAAACAAACCCTGCGCCGAGCTTATCCAATTCCACGGTATTTCCACGAATCTCTTCCATCTCCTGTCTTCCGTGCCACCCAACCCTGACTCGCTCGCAGTCCCGACGTAATGGAGGTGGGGACTCGCATTTGTTCCCGACACCCTAACCCTTCCTCGCCGCCTACACTCCCAGAAACTCCCCCGAGCCCGTTTTTGCCCGGCCGTTCCTTCTGCTTTCTTCGTTTTTACCTTCGCCGCCCGCAATCCCTGCCATTCAACCGTTCCGCTGGCCTAGCCCCGCTCGCTCTCACTCTCTCTTTCTCTCTCTCGCACCTTGTTCCGTGCCATCGGCGTGAAACTGCGTCACCTCTGAAACCTAGACAACGCCTAAAAGCGTTTCAGAAAGAAACGCGAGGGGCTTCCAGTGGAACCGGGGGAAATTGTTCTTTTCCCCTCTGGGACGTGGTTTCGTGAAAGGCACTACTTTCGCTCGCGATTTTCCTTTGATTCCTGGGATGTACGGGCGTGTGAATATTCAGAGATTTCAGCTTGGAGTAGCTTCGAGCGTTCGACTTGCGAGAATATCCGTGACACTGAAATCTTGGGCTAGAAGTGACTTGCACGTCGTGTTCGAAATTTTCCTTGTGAAACGTGGGACCATTCTATGCTTCTAGACACAATGAATTCGATGTTTCATTGGAGTAATAAGTCCGAGGAATGAATGGTTTGTTATATTCAAGATGAAAATTTGATTTTGAAGTTACCAAGTTTATTCCGTCCGCCACTGTAGCCAGATGCATTTTGAAAGCATCACCATTCCGAGCTTCCAGGG